GTTGCGGGGTTTAGAAGATTTCGCCCTCCCGTATCTCGATGATGTGGCGATATTCTCTGATACGTGGGTCGAGCATGTGACTCACTTGAGGACCGTTCTGGCTCGACTACGTGATGCAGGCCTCACTGTGAGAGCGCAGAAATGCCACATAGGGTGTGCAAGCGTAAGTTATCTCGGCCATATCGTGGGTCGTGGCCAGCGTAGCCCGGCCGAGCTGAAAGTTGCGGCCGTTTTAGAGTATCGTCGTCCCACCACAAAGTCGGAATTGAGGGCGTTTTTGGGACTGGCGGGATATTATCAACGCCACGTCAAAGGTTACTCAAACCTCGCTAGTCCGCTGACGGACTCGCTCCGCAAAACCGAGCCCACCGTCATTTCGTGGGACACAAGAAAAGAGAATGCTTTCAAGAGCCTGAAGAGCGCTCTCGCAAAACGACCCGTGCTAGCGGCGCCAAACTTTTCTCAGAGTTTTATTATTCAGTGTGATGCCAGTGACCGCAGCCTAGGAGCAGTTTTGTGCCAAAAGGACGCCGAAGGGCACAAGCGGCCAGTTTTGTATCTCACCAGAAAGCACAGTGTCAGAGAGAAAGCTTACAGCAGTTCAGAAAAAGAGTGCGCCTGCCTTGTTCGGGCAATTGGTAAGCTAGCATGTTACGTCTCAGGGTCGAGCTTCATAGCAGAAACTGATCACTGCCCCTTGACTTGGTTGCACAACATGTCGTCTAAAAGCGGTCGCTTGCTTAGGTGGAGCTTGACGCTTCAGCACTATAACTTTAGTGTGCGCTATAAGAAAGGGAAGCTGCACATAAATGCAGATGGTCTCAGCAGAGCTTAGTGAAGTGCAGCCCAATTCCCTCATACAAGTTGAGGCACATCCTTCTGGTTTGACGTGTTTTGCATACTTTTGGTGTCTATTCTTTCGTTTTGCTCTTTATCAACAATGTCGCATTGCACTAACAGATGTATTTTGTTTGAAGTGTACTCTGATATGTTAGCAGGAAGGCCAGCCTTTACCATTCTGGTAAAATCGTTCAAAAACAATTGCACAGAATTGTTTTTTGGCTGCTTGAGCGGGTTCCGACCTACTCGTATGGCATTGAGGATAGTTTCGCGCGACCCTTCTTGGCATCGGGACTGCGCAGTGTAATCACAGCATTCGTGAGCGCCAGTGTTTTGTGGTCTCTAAGGGATACGTTTCTCGTGCTAAAACGTACAATAGTAGAGAGTCAATAGATCTCTTTGCTGTCTTGGTCTGGCGCTATGAGATGTTCAGAGGGTGCTTGCTTCCATGAAAGCGGTTTGGCTTTGTGTTCAACTCGGTCATTCCAGTGATTACCTGCAGGGCTCTGAAGATCACCACGGAGTGGCTACAGTATCGACGGTCAACCAGCATCCCTCCTTCCGAGCCGCCCTAGACGGTTCAAAACTCCGGATGCATTGTCTCGCGGCAGGGGTGCTGTTATGCCACAGACATTTTCCTCGTTCGGGAGCACGTCTCACGAGATCGAGCGCTGTTCCAACGAACTGTCTCCCCCCTCCCAGCGCCGCCTTCCGTGCAGAAGAACAATGCAGTTCCGGGGATAACGTCGCTTCCTCCGCCGAACCACCTTGCAGTTACGGGTATGGCTGCGTCTCCTTCTCCGAGCCCGAGAACTGGTCTGAGAGAATGGACCACAGACGTTATTTAAGGCTGTGCCAGCCTCATGTTTGGGAGGATTTGCCCCAGCCGACGTTGTCGTGCTGGCCGGCTCTGTAAAAAAACGACAACCTGCTACAGTAAACGCTCCTTCTTGTTGCTGTTTTTAAATCGGATTGCCTCCCTGCTTCGCCTTCGGGCAAAGGCTTCAGTGAAGTCCGCTCGACGGCTCGCCATTCTTCGCCACCGCGATGCTTCAGCGAAGTCCGCTCGACGGCTAGCTGCTCTTCGCCACCGCTACCATCGCGACACAGCAAATTCCTAACAACAATTAAGTTAGAGCGCCGACTTCTATTTTCCAGGTCGTCGAGTTTCTTAGCCATAACTGCCATACCCCATTCAAGGTCAGCTATTTTGTTAACGCAGTCAGTTACCTTGATCTCAAGGCTAGCAATTTTCTCAAGCTTTTCATCAATTGCACTTAGCTTTTTGTTAGTTTTTGCTTTGCCTGCCTTAGTTTCTTTGATATCACCCGCAATTCGTTTCAGCTGCTCTACCAACTCGTCGAATTCGGGACCAGGATTGGACTCTACATCTCTAGCCATAAGCAGCAAGAACCTCAAAGTTGCACAGACATTGCAAACCAGGTCGCACAATGGCCGTGGACACGGCAGCAAAATAAGAAATACATTATTACTGCGGAAGCATTTTCTGAAATGTTTTCTCACCTGCATAAAGAATTGAAACGGATTGTTAGCTGGCATTCTGACGCTGCCGCCGTGCCCACTGCCGAGCAATCCGTGGTGCACCAGCTTTATACCGAGCAGGCGTACTGACGCTGGTGGCGTAGTCATATCTTCCAGGGGATAGGCTGAAGCGGTCCGGGTGCTGCCAACGACGATTTCAAAGGCCGAGAAGTTGGTTGCAATTTCACGAGCTGCGCCGTCGATGTCCGGAAGCTATCTGCTGCGCATCTGTTATCGGTAGAACCGTCAGTTCTGTTCTTCGAAGCAGCAGAATCAGGAGCGTCTGCATAAAGAATTGAAACGGATTGTTAGGTGGCATTCTGACGCTGCCGTCGTGCCCACTGCCCATAGAAAGAGAGATGCGCTGGGACAGCGAGCGAGGACATATCGAGGGGATAGGAGAGATAGGAAAGATGGAAACATGGTCACAGGAGTCCGAGGACAAGGCACCACTTGCGAGAGCTTTTGTCGGCGTCAGGAGATGGCGTAGGGAAAGTCCAGTAGGCCAGAGCTGCGCTGTCGTCGGAGATCAGCGTCAGGAGATCCAGTCGGCCAGAGCTACGCTGACGTCGGAGATCGTGAAGGCACAACCGGTCGGCGCGGAATCCAGCGAGTGAGTCCCCCGTAAAGTCTCTAGAAGAGAAGAATCTAGAATGGGTATCGGTCACGTGTTTCCCAAGAAATGTATGGGGAAAATGCGGCACCGCTATTGGCTGAAGAAGGTCAGGTGGTCTAAATGTGTTTCTGGTTTGTTGTGTTTATTTTTTTATTTTTTTTTCTGCGGCGGCAGCGCCTACAGAGTGGGTTTTGCAAGGCTGGTTGAAGCCGTACTATCTAGAGCACTGTAGCAGTACGCCATAGGAATTTGGGTTTTTCGCTGACATGTGTTTACGCGTGGCTGTGCAGATCGTTTTACGCAGGACGCAGTGGTGTTTAACATTAATCCGGAAGTGTGTAGTTCATGCCCCTTTGGCGTGCGATCATGTGTTTGATACGACGCAAGAAACTTTCGTTTGCGCTACTGCGCTGAAGCCTCGCTCCGTGCAGATTGAGCCCTCCATGCGCCGCGGACATGACGGACGCCGAAATATTCGGGCTTTTTGTTGCCAAATGTTTTCGCAGCTGTTGGCAATGTAAACGCGGATTGTTTTACGATAGATGACGTGGTGTATGCGCGGATAGTGTCGCGATGGGCAAAGTAGTGCACAACGTAAATCCGGGAGCGTGTGCTATTTATCATGAGATTGTGTGTTTGTCATGACACAAAAAACCCTAGGACTTCATTTTACTCGCGTATGAGTGCAAGCTTATTCAAATACAGTGTAAAAAAAAAAAGACGTGAGGCGATTTGTGAATATTTGTTCATTTGTCACAACTCGGCTCGATGCCATTGGAATTAAACTTGATGCTATAGAAATGTAAAAAATAGAAATGTGTTCAGGAATAGCGTCATTATAAACTTCTAAGCTGCTTTTGGTAAGTGTACATTATTTTGCAGAAGACAGGGAGCACTCATCTCCCAGCCTTTCATGTGAACTGATCTAATGTTAATCGGTGCTATGACTTCAGCATGTTATACAGCACCTCGCTCACATGTCCGCATGCAATGCATCCGTCACAGTGAATGAGGCATGCGTAACCAAGTAGTAACATCAATAGATTCCCCATCAGGACCATAGTGTCGAAACCAAGAAAGCAAAAGTACATTTAAGGGCTTGTTTTTTTTTTTTTTGTTAGACAAATTATTATTGAGATCTAATGGTCAATCATGCTAAGTGACTTGATGGTCTGCTAGATATCATTAATATTGCATCTAACAAAGAAAAAAAGCCCTTAAATGTACTTCATTCCTTCATTCATAATGAGGGACTCATTCTGACAGACTTGGTGCCTTCAGGCAATATACGAGGAATTATTAGTCAGCTGCCAACTCATAATAAGCTCACAAACTATGCGACGCCAAACAGACAAAAAAGTGTTCCACACTTACCGTCATGGCTAAAGGCCATGCTCCCACATTTAATTTACATATACCCCATTAAGTAGACGGGGAGGTGGCCACCATGGTAGCTCAATTGGTACAGTATCAAACGTGTTATTTGAAGGTTCAAAATTTGGTCCCTGCCCACGGCAAGTTATCTTTTCGTCCAATTTTCTTTCTTCACATTTACATTACAAAAGCAAAACAGGGCATATTGTGAAGCGAAGGACATATAACAAGCTCAGCAACGTGGGCAGAAAAAAAAATAAAAAAAACCATGAGTGCCTGGGGAACAATTGGCAAACGTTGATTCACGAAATGTGCCTGGAAAATATACCCACATTTTTCAAAGTCCTGCAATGTCGATTGTGATACACAGTGGTGGGAACATGTTTGCTGTAAGAAATATCTCAATATGCACCTCTCTTACGACGACCCCCCCAAACCTCAAGGAATCACATAGATGAATGATGCACATACCACGTGGACTCACAGTGCCGAAAGAATGACATATGTCATGGTATTTGAGCATGGGCTCTTCTCAATGCATTATGTAGGGTTCACTAATGACATTAATATAACAGTGCAAAATCCCATGCCCTCCCAGAAAAGAGTTTGTTCTTCCTTTAAACTTGTCTAACAGAAAAGTACACTGTTTATTCAGATGCAATTATTACTTGCCCAACAGGACCCATTCCTTAACTAGAAACAAATGACAGCACATAGATTTCTTAACGCGAGACCTAGAGCCTCTTTGACATGTAAACTTTCTGCTATTTTTCTCCATATCAGATTTCCTATTCAATTGCATACTGCGTCTAGTTTTTTATCAGGCTAGCTTATTACACCACTACGTAGATTGCTAGTACAATATTATTTACTAAAGGCTCAATACTTCATTAAAGATGTGCTGTTAACGTAAAACAGCTTCATGACCCAGGACAAAAGGTCACTGAAGTTGCTTCAGTAAGCTATTACCATCTGTTATTGTAAAAAAAGCACCTGTTTTCAAAGTAGGTAATAAGTTATACATATGCTATAATAATTTCTTTCAAAAAAATGTTCACAATTTTTGAACAAAATGAACCAAGATGATTAACAGGTCAGGTAAGCTCTCCATTAAATAAATTACGATACATTTGACATTACTTCGCACTAACCAGTGTCTTAAGAGACATATATATATGAAGGGGTTTTTAAAAGGCATTTGTATCTTACACAGATAACAAGGTGCTCTATAATTTCCATGACATGATGAACAATCAGTATGTATTAAGAATGCTTCCAGATATTTGCATTTATGTTACCTGTAATGAACTGGACAATATTATTTCAGGAGAGATAAGTCGGAATAAGCACTACAATAACAGAGCTGAGCTAGTTGGTTTGTCTTCCTGTTAAGAGGCGGGGCATGTAAACATGGACACTAGAGAGAAATAAAGGTGCGCAAGTGCCGACTAACAACTTAAAAGATGCACAGCAGAAGAAAAGAAAGCAGACATTCGAACTTGCCTGCGCATATCTCATGTGTCCGTGTTTGCATATCGCATATTTTAACTTTACGCTTGTGATAACTATAAACCAATGGTAAAGTTTTAACCTATGCATTTTCATTTCAGTTCAAGCACTTAATCATATCTCTATTGCTTCAGTGCTAAAATGCTGCTCAAGTCTTTTTCCTAAGAACTATGGAATATGAAAGCATTCTTATGAAACGTTTGAATAAATTGTAAGTCATTCATGACTTCCTATCTTTCTTGGGAGCCCTTACCAGGTAAAATGTTAAGCATTAAGCTAAGAGCATTTTAATAAAGAAACAAAGCTTTCATAAGCCATTTATACTTTTAAATTCACATACATACATAAATTTACTGAAGAAATTGTGTTTCTAAGTTCTCCTATGTCTCAAAAGACAAAACTTACTTTTCAGCGACTCTAAGGTCAGCTAGCGTATCTTCACGTGCAGAATCATGTACTTTTGTCTTTTTGTAAACCCCATGCTCTTATTACAAAAGTATATCTGGTGTGGTTGCTAAATAACTGACACATTTTGATGGGTGGGACCAGTTCATGTCGTAGTATCTTTGTTGTGAATAATGGTGGCTGTTGGGCAAAGCAATACAAATGAGTCCCGAAACAAACTAGACTTTGAACAAGTTTGTTTGCTCTCAGTAAATGAAAAATAAATTAAATTCATTCTAATGAAAACTGGTAAGTGTGAGGTCATCATTTCTTACAATTGGGGAAAAAGCATCAAGACACTCGGGGGGGGGGGGGGGGGGCTTCATGTTACATCACAGTATTTTCTCCAATCTAATGTTAAATGGCATTTCCAGTGGAGTGTCCTGGCTCTCTTCTGAAAATGAAAATAGGAGCAAGACAAATGCAATTAAAAGAAAACAGTCGACTGCAGGGTCTTCCAAAGCTTTCACAGCACTAAAAACTTTGGAAAGTATTCCTCTTTGAGCATCATTAAACAAAAGCAAATTTCTTTTTTCATGTCATTGCTGGCAGTAGCTTCCACACCTACCGAGCCAAAGCGAATATGTTTTCTTCTGAACTATTTTTATTAACAAGTAAACCCCTCCACACAAAGTGGCACACATCATAACTTGCAGTTTCAAAAATTTCACGAGGCAAGGCCTACAGCGGGCATTATACTAGTGTTAATAATCAATACCAGAATATTCATCACTTTATCAAACTTTATATGTAGGGTGTAAAATTATACCTTATTTTTATAAATATGTGTTCACTTTGACTGTGCAATATTTTCATAGTCAACTAGTACACTACAGTCACACACAGCATTGGACCCTTCAGGTTGGTTGAATAGAAAGCAGCAGGTTCGAACAAACTGTGTAATGAGCTTAGAGATAACAGCAGGCAGTGAGCTATGGTAACATCAACAATATATAAGCCCTTGAGAGGTCTCTTTCAATCCATACTTTTTGTTGAACTGACAAAATTTAAGAATGTGGTTGAAAAAAGAAAACACCATGAAAAAAAAGTCCCTCACACAAGAACAAGCGGGCTAAAGATGTCAGGCCAGTGTGCACGACGTAGCACAATCACATCATAAGCTGGAGGAGAGGCCTTCCGTAGATCCTTCAGGAAACTCTCATGGGGTGCCTACTGCAGGTACACTAGCTAGGTATTGACTACACCAACTGCCACCATTTTGCTTAATAGCAAAGCACCCTGTAAGGCGTTTAGGTAGCTTGCACGCTTCATTGATGCTGTGCCCAATGATGATGATGGTGAATTATCGTTCGGCCCTTCGTAACGACTGGAAAGTTTTCTACCATCCACTCATAAAGCAGTTCACATGAAGTGAAGTCTTGTGCAAATCTACTCTTTTTCCAAGCAATTAATGTGATTCGTCCCCTAACATGATGCCTGCAAAGGGTGTTATTGCGAAGAATATTCAAGCACTTTCACGATTTTATGGCAGGATGAATGATCACCATCTGGATTCCGGCTTAGATTGCTCACACGCTAAGCTTCCTATCTCAGTAAGGATGGCAGCTGCAGACAATATTGCCACTAAAACTGGCTATTGTGAGCTCATAAATTACAGTGCAAAACATTTTTATTTTGTGTACAGAAATCATATGGCCCTACAAATGAAGAACAGCTGTGTGATACGATTGTACGCTTATCATGAAAGAAATTGCATACTTGGACAGTAATTATAGCATAGTTTCTAGCAAAAGCACATAATTTTAGGCCAAATAATCATTTGCTGGAACCAAGTTAGGCCTTAGGGCTATTCTTAAATTCTGTACTTTTGAGCAACAATAAGCCTCACATTGTATGCTATGACCTTCATGCACGAGATTAAATTGACAACTCCCTCACGACCAAGACAGAGCAGTAGGTTTTAAGAGGCTTGCTGGATTACATGGAGAATCTGATAAGACTTGACAGAATTAGAGCTGGCTGCTGTCTCTGCAATCATGCACAATATATGCATTCAACATTTTTTTCCATGGCCCACGATGAGAGCATGTCAATTTCAGTTCATCTGAGCTGGATACCCTCTTCAATTGGGATGCACTCATGAAATTATAAAGCCCTTTAAATTATAAAGTCTTTACACTATAAATTAAAATATAAATTATAAGGTTATAAAGTCCTAAGTTTTTTAAAACCTTGGGCGTGGAGCATTACTTGGATTTATTTTGAAATGAGAGCGTACTACTTAGACACAGGCAGAAAGACATCAAAACAATAATTTATCACCAACTCGCCCAATCAATCATATTGACAAATACTTGGATGTTCCTTTGAGTCTCCCACCATCTTACTGATTCATTTTGCAACTCGTTCTTGAACCGTATTTACTACTGGGGCGCACTTGTCACCCTTTTCTTTACAGTCTTTAAGTGACACAAGTGTATTCTGGATGAGAGACAGGTTTGTTTGGACACTATGCATTTCAATTTGAAATTCAGATTTTATGTAAAGCCTTAATTTCTGGGGCAGTGTTTAAGATCTTCCACGGAAATTGCTAGTAGGCCCTGGGTTTTTTTCATCACCCTTCAAATTAACAATAAGAGAATTATGCAATACACCAGGCAAGGCTCGGCAAAACCCCAAGGCACGCATAGCTCGTCTTAAAACACTTTGCATAATAATATTTTGCACTAACCTATGCACAGAAGAACACGGAATTTAGTATAGTGTGCCTGACAGTGCCACTGAAGGTGCTGGAGCAGGGTAGAAATTTTGGCCAGTTGGTGTCGGTTCATCTTGGTCAAGCTGCATGTTGAGGCAGGTCACTAAAAAGAAGAGAGAAAAACAAGTGCAGAATTACAAGTTTTAATGAGATGTCATTCTGTTGTTAAGCGAGGAGTGATTGCATTAACTTCAGAAAGAAGTACGTGTATGTAGTTAGAACGTGTTGCATGAGTTCAGTTATTATTTTAGGAAATATTAGAGTTCTACTTCTTCTGATTTATATCGTGTTTCTGCAGGTCACTGAAATTTTATTTATCATACTATTAGGACCACATCTATAAAAAATGCCAGTCACTACAGTGACCAGATTTTGCTGCTGCAGCACAGTGAAATACTACCCTTGTACATTGGTGCTGCTCCTTTGGCATGAGTCTAAATAAAATGCATAACCTAGCCTTTAGTTTCAGTGAATTTCATGTTGGGTATTGTTATAATTTACAATATACCATTTCTTCATTAAGTGCAAAAAAACCAAAAGCTTAATGAGTCTGTTCATAAAGAGCAATAGCATGTACTTCTCCCCGTAACTTTTAATCCTAGGTGGCATTGAAAGCACAAACGTCATCACATGGCTAGTTCTTTCTGATGGCAAACGTAATATGCGTGGAAAATTTGTGCATCTGCAAGCATCCCGGAAAGTCGTACTGATTAGCAAATGAAATGTGTATCACAAGAAAATGCCAAGAAGCCTGATGCGAAAACTATGCAGAAATCTAGGGCTTTCAGAGGGAAACCAAGAAGCTGTGGGTTAACTTTACTTTTTGTGGCATAATATGCAAGTGTGCATGCATATATATATTATGTTAAACATGGTAAACTACTTGCACTTAAAGATCTAGAATGTATGTTTGAAAATGTGTGACTGTCAAGTGCTAAAAAAAGCTGATTTGCTGCTCAAAACTGATGTTTTAGTTGCTCCAGATTGTGCACCAAATTGCTTAGGATCGATTGCATCACTAATAAACCCCACCATTTAAAATGACTCCATGTTGGGCATGTGCCAGTTCGTAATTTCATTCTTTAAAGACACACAATATAAGTGAATTATAATACACTGCAGATCCTACCTAACCTTTTTTGAAATTTTAGACACCAACACACTGAAATGCAGAGTTACGATGATTGACGTAGATAGTCAGAAGATAAGAAACAAAGCTAGGAGCAGATCAGAAACAATGCTTTCCACCAGTACGGAAGCAGCAAATCTGGGCCTTTTGCCCGATAAAGGTTAGGGAATATCGGCACAAAAGATGTTCATCTTCAGCAGTGCCCAAATTTGAAAAGATCCGCCTGTTGAGCTGGTTCAATGCCAGCCTGGTTTGTTTTTATTTAGTGCACTTGATTATTCATATTAGTGGGTTTCGGGCCCTCCGTACACTTTTTCATGCATCTTCGATATACAGTAATTTTCTTCTGTTTACTTTAACGAGCCTTGATTTTTAATCCTTATTTCTCATATGCGAGGAAATTAAGATGCTGTATATGTAAATTTTTGGTGTGCAATCTCGCACTGCTTGCTGTGATTTCTCTGCTCATATCTTTTTACTTTGTTTATGATCAACCAACTGCGTGACTGTATTCTTTGCTTGCTTTTCATTAACCAACAATGTAATTCAACCATTATTTTGACATGTGTAGTGCCGAGTGCTGTCACATGCAGCACTAAGGTTCCGTATACAGTAATTTCTCAGATGTATTCGCATGTTCTGTCATTTATTTTTTCGTTTTAAATTCACTCCTGCTCAAGACCGGCAGTGTGTATGAGATAACTAAAGAAACAATAAAAAAAGCAAGTTAATCAGATGTTTAGGCTCACGTCTGTGCTTACCAAGTGATATCGTAAGTCTAGTGCTACCTCTAAGGCAACACTAATATTCATGAACAATTTCTAGGGGGAGTTCATGCTCGCTAAATAACATATCATTCAAAAAATCACTAGGAGAAAGATTAAAACTAACTAAGCTGTGGACGTACTGTAAAGAAAGCTACATTAGGTGGACTGTGCATTTGCATGAACTGGACAAGGAAAGAGGCTGATTGACATGTGGGGTTTAACGTCCCAAAAACACCATATGATAATGAGAGACGCCGTAGTGGGGGGCTCCGGAAATTTGGAAGACCTGGGGTTCTTGAACGTGCACCCAAATCTGGGCACATGTGCCTACAGCATTTTCGCCTCCATCGACAATGCAGCCACCGCAGCAGCGATTCAATCGCACAACCTGCAGGTCAGCAGCTGAATGTCTTAGCCACTAGAACCACCACGGTTAGGCTTGAACAAAGGGTAGGAGGACATATCTTTCTGTGAATGGCGTTCTGATGTAATTTCATGCCATTTGTGCAAGATATTAGAATACACAATTTGCTCCAAAATTTAACATTGCTTTACATATGGTGGTGTTTTAATCCTGCTTCCAGTAAAAGATCATCCAAGTTTGGCTGCTGCATTGTATGTTAAATTGAGAACAGAAGTGTCATTTGATGTGATCGTAACATTATCTCTCTTAGATAACATGCATTCTAAAGTACAGTTATTTCACATGATCATTTCTTTTAAAACATGTCACAGTCTAGAAAACCTATTTGCAGTTAATGGGTTTGTGGACTAATTGGTTTTGAAGCACAGTGAAGTGACAAATGGCACAAAAACACACAGACAGAAAAAAATACATGTGCAGTGACTCACAAATTATTGTATTTTCAGAAGTGCATGAAATATAAAGCAGTACATTTTTTAACGAGTGAACACATTTGTCTCCTGTCTATTTTGATACTGTGTATTATTTCACTAATATCTTGCTAGTTCTTTTTCTTGGAAAGCAAATTTTTTGCAGTTCATTTGTCAACATTTGTATCAACACCACTTTTGTGTAATATTTGTTCAGTGACAGTGTCTGCAATAACTGTGTCTGCAAATACCACGTGTGCCTGTATTGTACAACTATGTTTCTTAATTCAATAGCCATGTGTTTTTTTTTTTGTTTCCAATAACCGTCCTGCACTCCAATAACTGCAGTCCAATAACTGTGTCTGCAAATACCACGTATGTATGTATTGTACAACTATGCTTCTTGATTCAATAGCCATGTTTTTTTTTTTTTTTTCACAATACAACTTTTTTTTAATATTCTGGTTGCATGGACAACAGTGGACACTACTATTTGCACAGCATGTTTTATTCAACATGGCAGAGATATACATTAATTGACATGTACCGTTTCCCTGCTTCATATTATATTTTTTTGTTTCAAAACAGCCCAAAACAATTTTGAACGTTAGATTACCCATCAGTCTGGGAGGGACAACTGCGCTACCTACTTTTTAATGTGTCAAGGCCCACGCTATGCGCATTTCAGTGTCCTTATTGAATGCAGAGTTGCATCTGGGGAACGCCTAGGCTCCAACCGCTCTACTCTACTACATGAGTTTCATGAGCACTGTGCGCGTTAACAGCGCGCAAGCTGGCAGTGAGTCGCGTGATATAAAGAGAAATAAGGTGGCAAAGGACCCTTGAGCGAACGCGCGGCGTAGCGAGAAACAGCACACCGTCACAAAACAACTAACTTTGGAACAAGTTCGTCTCGTCTTAGTTTACGCGCGCAGCACAGAAGACCACAGCGTAAATTCCACATGTGATACAACCCACTTACCTTAAAACAGCTGACATCCGGAGTAGACCAAGTGGCGCGTCTTCTTCGCCGGCCGGCAGCTCACACGAAAGCGTAATAAATAAAAAAAATCGGAGCACACCAGCTGCGTAAGAACACAACTCGTTTCAGCGACAACGTCAGCGAAAAGCCCACACGTTTCGGTGCGATTTCTACGGCGTACGGCTTCAACAAGTTTCAACGGCGTATAGCAAAACTAGTGTTCTGCTAACGTCTATGTCCGCCGCCATCTTGTATTAAAAAACAAAAACAAACAAAAATACCAAAAGTTCGTTTAGATAACGTGGTTGCGTTGAGCCAATAGCAGCGCCGAATTTTCCCCTTGCATCTCCTGAGATATGATACCGAATTACGCATACCGGTAAGGCCCGTCGCGTATGCTACACACGAGTCAACGTTACTGGATGAGGACAGTTGGAAAACTCGCGCGAGGAGGCGGCCGCAAATCGTCGCCCATTCCAGGTGTCGCTGGCATCGCTTTGCGACCACGTCACGTGACCTCTCCGCCGCGCAGCCGGCATCGCGCGGAGCAGACGGAGCAGCGACGCGGCTAGCAGGGCCTGCGCTTGCAGACGATTTTTTCCCTGCTGGTAATAATGGTTAAGTAACCTAAATTAAGTAACGTTAAGTAACCTAAATATAAAAAAAAGGCTGGCTCGTTGTTTCGTAACAGACCTTATGCATTAAATTTCAACCATGACAGAGCAGACGATAATGTTTACGCTGTTCTGCTTTCTGGAGAGAAAGCGGACGGTGACTCTGAGCAAGCAATTGTTCGCGGTTGAATTTTGCTCCCTTCGGGAGAACGGTCGGCATGCCGAGGTGTGCTGTGCCAGGCTGTCGAAGTGGATATTCATCGGCAACGTCAAATGAAGTGCCCTTCGTGCAGCGACACTTTTTCAAGCCACCGAAAGACCCCAATGTGCTGAGGGAGTGGAACAATGCGGCAGGCCGTGCAAACTTCGAAGTTACTCAAAGATCATACATATGTGATCGTCACTTTGATGAAGCGGACATTTGCACCTCCTTCCAGCATGTTGTGAATGGCGAAACAGTCTCGATTCCGCGAGGACGCTGGGAACTGAAGAAAGGTGCGGTACCGCGGCATTTTGCTAATTGCGCTGAGCTTGATTTGAAGCTTTGTGTAGAAAATGTTGGCACAAATGCAGCAAGCGTGCTAGTGGCCGAAGATGACATTACCCCAGTTCTTCAGAGTGAAAGTGAGACGTGCACTGAAATGCTTGAACACGAAAACAGGGCTGCCTCAAATGCTGAAAGCATGGAAGTCATCATGAAAGAAAGCTCCACAGGTGAACATTGGTTTGGTGGCATAGAAGACTTGCCCGTGTATGGAGCATGGTGTGTGCAACACACGGATGAGCGTGTTGTTTTTTACAAACTTCAAGAAATTGGTGGCGTAGTTTTTATTGAAAGAGCTGTCGTTATAAACAAAAACTCGACCGTTGTTGTCAGCGCTAAAGGGAAACTTGTGCCGGAATCGTCTTACACCTTTATTAACAGTGACAAGCTCAATTTTACCACCTTGAAAGACGCAGCGCCCTTTCTTCATCTCATTGAGAGCCTGGGTATCTGCAATGGTTTTGATTCTCGTTTATGTCCTTTAATATCAACTTCTAAGACGGCTGAAAGGTCTGGGAGAACATGGAGAAGCAAGCGATGTGCAGTGCTGTCGGCGAAAGCCTTATGCGTTCAGTGCAGGAAAGCAAAAAAGAACTTGCAGTGCAGGCAGAAACGACGTTCAAGAAAGAGCAAGTACGTGCCTTTGCCATCTGCGCTGTTGAGAAATTTAAGAAAGAAGACTATAAGAGCAACAGTGCTGCGGGAGAAATACAAGAGGGACCTGCTAAGCTTGAAAAAAAAGTTGTCATCAGATCCAAGCAATGCACTGTTGAGCGAGGTTTTAGCTGAACTTCCACCACTGCAGCAACTTGCATTTCGGACAGCACTGCAGTCGATGAAAGCGAAATCTTCAAGAGGTGTGCGGTATGACTGTGGGTGGCTGCTGAGTTGCCTTCTCTTGAAGATTTCAAGCCCACGTGTGTACCGCTTGATGTCAAGAATGAAAATCCTCCCTCTTCCAACTTCGACTAGGCTCCGACAAATAATAAGAGGAATGCCTTGTGAGTTTGGCTTTAATAAGCTCTCCCTTTCCAGCATAGGGGCTTTCATGAAGACTATGAAAGGAGTCCAGTGTTACGGCACACTAGTAATAGATGAAATGAAGGTACGCCAAGCCGTAGCTTTCAACCGTCAAACATACAAGATTGATGGGTTCGTAAATTACGGAGACGGTGAAGTTTCAGCAGCTACTGCTGATCATGCATTGGTTGCAATGTTTGTGCCTCTATTCCACTCATGGGTTCAACCGATTGCAAGTTTTGCAACAAAAAACGCAGCCCCCGGACACGTGCTCGCCAAAATAGTTCTTGATGCAATCGTGCAGCTACGCAAACACAACGCCATAGTCGTCGCAGTAATCAGTGATGGCGCCAGCACGAACAAAGCAATGTGGTCCAACTTTGGCATATCAGGAAAGCTTCACACAGCAAACCACAAAGTTCAGCACCCATGCGAGCCAAATCAAAGCCTCTACTTCCTTTGCGATGTACCCCACATTGTCAAATGCATTAGAAACCATCTTCTTCGACACAAATATGGCATGGTAAGTACCACGTACAGTACAATATCGCAATAAATAGTGTCGCGGTGCCAATCAAAATACATTTTCTTCGCAGCACTACATACGACTGACGGACTTTTTTTTTCCCTCTCTTCTTCTTGCTCATAGATTGGTGAACATCGCATAAACTATGACCACTACCGAGTTTTGCAAGAAGTAGACGGCAAAGAGCAACTCCGCATTGTTCCGAAGCTTACCGCTGAACACGTCTGCCCTGACAACATGAGAAAAATGAGTGTGAAGCTCGCAGTACAGGTAAGATTACGAAAAGCTGCTTTTGAAAGAACTTATAGCTTACCTGATTATTTAGGCAAATTCTTCACATGTGAAACACAAACTTAACTGGTACTGTGAAGTGTTCTCCTTAAGTCTTTTTGCGATTAATAAAATGCCCCTATACGTTTTCTGTCCCCTAGCTGCTCAGCCGAAGTACGGCTATCGGCCTTGATGTGTACCGGAGACTCAAGCAAGATGGCCTGGAAGACTGCGAGGGGACAGCCGCGTTTACCCGCATCATAAATGACCTTTTTGATGCCCTGAACATCAAGCTTCCTCGTTTTGGGATAAGGAGCACATCCAAGGAAATTAAGGCAAGGGCGATAAAATGTGCTACTTTTGAAGAACATTCGCAATAGGTAATGTTAATCAAGAACTGAGGCACTGGGCATATAAATAAAATACAAAACGCCGACAAACATTTACACCAACAAAAGCCTAGTTTAAGTAGACATTTATTTTGTAATTGAAGGAAGGTATTATTGAAAGAAAGACGACGAATAAATGTCTTGGAACTTAGAACTTCTCCTTCCAGATAACTGAAATAAACGTCGATGAGAAGGCGACACGCCGCAAGCGTGATTCAAGTATTACCAGCTTCCATTTTCATTCAGTGGCACACATGTTTCATTAAAAAATCAGGTTAAAAATAACTTTATGCCTTTCTTCAAAGGTCCCTTTTTTTATAGGCGTCGACGTTTGCATGTAAGAGCTAGCTTGCACAAAAAAGTAATGTCTAACATAAACTTTTCCCTTTTCTAGATCATCCAAGATTTCATGATTATCTTGGACTTGACAGAGAGAAACCACGTTGAGAAAGGAACAGCCATGTTCGCATCTCAAGTAACAATGGAGTCTCTAAGGGTGACTTTGTCATCTATCTTGGAACTAACAAATGACCTCCTTGCTAAAGGTGCACGCTACGTGCTCACAGGCAAGCTTAATCAAGACCCCTTGGAGGTGAGATTAGCATAATTCCATAAAACTGCGCACTTACTTCATTGCATGGAAAATAAACAAAACGGTTATGAGGAAGCATAGCGTGGTTTTAAACAGTCGTCATATCTCTATGTGAGATGTGCAATTCCCGCCTGAGACTTGCACTCTATAAATCCTCTTTATGCATTCCATACGCCATGCGTACTTTGACTTCTGAAAGAGATACATACGGTGAACTGACGTACGGCTTTATTACTACCATTACAGAGGTTCTTCGGAATCACCAGGAGCTTTGGAGGTGACGAAGACCATCCGACGATCCTGAGCTTTTCCCATATCTACAGGTTGCTGAGCCTGTACACACCTGTCAAGGCTTCGATTGCAGGCAATGTCCAAGAGGAGCCAACCTTAATACTAGCCACAGTGCAAGAGACGATGAAGCAAGGGAAGAAGCAGCAGCTGGCAACGTATGAAAAGTTGCGTGAGACAATCAGCGCAAAGATTTCCGAGGTTTGCTTGCCTGGAATAAGTTCAGCATCCCACTCGGGACCGACACCGCTTCCGGACCACGGATATGCTTTGCCAGCAGTACAGGAGTGCGTCGTATATTACCTCTGCGGCTACATTGTACATTCTTTTCTGAAGCACGTCAACTGCGCTGCTTGCATAAGCAGCATCCAGTCAACAAACACTAAATTCCCCGCTTCACTACTGACATTGGCAAGAGAATTCAGGAACGGAAGCCTCAAGCATCCCTCTACAGAACTTTACACAATGTTGAAACGCGTCGAAGAAAAACTGTCTCTCGTGCTAGGAGAAAACCATCTGTGCGCCGACATGTTTTGGGATGCGCTGGATGTCATCAAAGACTGCGATGTTCCAAGCGTTGGTTGTTCAGTTCATAAGGACATCCTGACATCGGAGATTGTACACTCATACGTTGTTTTGAGAATGCACTTTTTTACGAGAGATGTTTGTAAGAAGCTGAGTGCTTCTGGCAGGGTGTCTTCTACAAAAAAGAAAGCCAAACTTCTCTAGACTACGCACCAATAAACTACGCAGTGATTTAACATAGAAATGTTGCCAAGTAAAAAAAAAAACAGGAACTTGAACAAATGTGTTTGGTGGCTTTTCTTACAGTTATTGCACAGCAACATGCACAGATCTCAGTGAATTAAGGGCTGTAATGAGGACACGGGAACATCGGAACAGCATTAAATAACCTAGCAGGAGTCCCACGTAGAACACAGCCAGCTTACCGGCGACGCATGTCATTGGTTCGAAATTTGGGTATTCGAGTGTCAAACTAAAATGACGCTGTTCTTTTTAATTCGATTGCATTCCTCCCTTCATGAAGAGGTGACGAAGAGATGAAGGAGCTTCTCCAAGCTCCTTAATTCATATCCACTCGATTGGCATTCCGTGTTCCTAGTCATGCACATTCGATACATTTAATTGTCAATCGGAAAA